TCAAACAGAGACTAATTTGCTCTATTTTTCTGCAGATTTGAGTAAGTCATAAGTTTCCAATTAAAATTAATCATCATAAATTGTTATTTTTTTCAATTTCAAAGTAATGTTTGCTTGGATAAAAAAAACCAAATTTTTTATGACTAAAAATAAATACTCATTTACTAATTTTTCAAAAGACTCTTTTAATTATAGGTTTCTCTGAATTAGAAGCATGTATATTTCATCAGTTCTAGAATCCACTCTTAAAGGAGCTTTATGATGTATGATTTCTATAACCACGGTAAGTGTGCAATTCATTGGTCTTTAATATATAAAAACCACTTCCAGAATATAATATTAGTGTCTTTGACTTAATAACAAAAATGCTTTCATTTCCCCCCTATAGTTTACAACTTAATTATTTCAAATTTCCAATTTACTTTGTCTCCACAAAATACCAATATAAGCAAAAGAATGTTTTATATTTACATGCAAATATTTTTACAATAAAAAAAGGGAAAAGAATACTAACAAAAGTGCAATTCTTATAGATTGCATGTTGAGCCTCGGTGACCTTTGACTACTAAGCAAAACTCAGTGGTTCAAAATCACCTGTCATCCCTTGGAATAAAGATGTGATTTTTACTTTTGTAAAAATTGCAGCCTAGCCCTGTGCAACAGTTCAACTCTATCTTATAGGGTCATGAGTTCTGCATTGCAATTATATCCATTTTGTTGACAAAGAAACTTTAGTTTCAAATTTAATAAAAACTAACCAAAAACAAACAAACAAACAAAACCCCCCACATTTTGTAGTGCTTTAATTGAATGCAAAGTTCAATGAAAGCAAAAGGAAATCTGCATACTTATTTTCCTGTTATGATTAATATTGGGGCTATCTGACTTAATCAAGTATTTCAAAGATGGTGAGGATAACATAGCATAGGGTCAGGTCAGATCTGTTGGGTCAGATGAAAGGGTCGTTCTGACTTGCAGTCAAATTGATGGCAGATAAAAATAATATTTGAATGGTCTAAAATAGATAGAAAAGCACTCTAATGGAGTCCAGTTCTATTTATGGTAATCTTTCATTGGGAATCCAAGTTGGTTAATTTTTTTAGTAGACTTCCCATCTTTGTGTTACAACATAGCTGGAGGTTTTGTGTAGCTAGGCTACCAGGTAGCAGCAGCACATCTCCTTATGTAATCTGTTTTTCCATTGAGCTCTTTAAAAAACATGAAAAGCATTTCTATATCTTCTATGTATTGTTTATGAAGAATTGCAGTCAAGATCCATTATTAAAAATTATATACCTTCTTAGTGACAGAAGTGAAGTAGTTGTTGTTGTTATTTGCCACCTATTGAGTCTCTTACGACTCATAGTTACCCTATGTACAAGAGTCCTAAACCCTGCTCTATCTTGTGCCAACATCACTGTCTCCAACACACCCACCCCCACTACCCCAATCACTGAATCACTCAACTTATTTTTTATAATAAACTGAAATACTATCTATATCTCTCATTTTACTTCATCTGGCGTCTTAAAGTACATTTTCAATAAAATGTTGAATTTACCAATAATAAATCTATAATTATTTAATTCTTTTCCCAAAAAATATTGTATAACTTTTATTCCACAGTTCTTGTTCAAAGTCCTAAAATATGTTTTTAATTCAAAATTACTCTTTAAAAAATTTTAAGTTTAAAAACAATGAGTCTATGAATTAATTAGATCAATGATCAATGTCTTTTGATCCTAAAGTCAACTTATTAAGCACACACACACACACACACACAAATAACAAGAAAAATATTATAATTAGAATAATTATACAAAACACATTTTAATTAATTTTTTATCTTTATATTTATTAATTAGAAGAATGGACAGTTAAATTAAGATGCAAAACTCTACTATTTTTATATAAATAGGATCTGAATGAATGAATGTGTAAATGAATAAAAAAGGAAGGAAAGATGTATCTAACTACTTCCAGAAATATACTTCTAAGGAATTGGTTGTTAATTCCAAAGCAAACATTATAGGAAGATTAGGCAATTTGGTAAATTTACCATAAATTGTTGAATTTTGTACTTTGACTGTATTTACATTTCATAATATGTAGAAGATAGTTTACGGAAGTGTTTGCAACAACAAAAAAATACTAAGCCATTAAAGAGGTTTATTGTGAAGGAAATCTCAACTCTATTGATATTTGGGAAGCAGTATCTTGAGTTCAACTTTAACTGGAAACTAAGATGTCATTGTTTTGAATAAGATCTTCTGATGAATTATTTAATCATAATTTCTATACAATTTGTATCAGTCTTTTAAATTTTTTTGAGAAAAATATCTTATTTTTAAATTACAAAAACAAAACCATATCATAGTTATGATTATATTAATAGAATAGTTAAAATTATGAGCAGATATATTAATGATATATTATTCTTTATCCTTGTGTGGCTAGTATCAGTCCATATGTGTCTATTTTTCTTTCCTCTCTCTCATAGAATTTGTAAATTGCAATTGCATTTACAGCCTTCTAAGTGTTCTGAAAATGAATTGTCAGATATTAGTAATCTGTAAATTTGCTAATTACGCCTTTACCTCAATTTTTGGTGGAGATTTTTTTTAACAGACCTAAATTGATGGAAGAGTCATGTGGTTTCCAGCTAAGAGGTTGTTCTTATCAATGGCATAGCACGGCTTTTTACATTAAAACCTGCTGTCAGGGCCCTCTCCAGAGTGCCAAAGTGCGAAGATGTCAGTCTAGAGACTAAGGTGCGCCTGATCCAGGCCATGGTCTTCGCAATTACTTGCTATTCATTAGAGAGCTGAACAATCAATAAGGATGACAGAAGAAGAATTGATGCCTTTGAGTTGTGGAAATAGAGAACAATATTGAGCATATCATGAACTCTCAAGAGAACAAACAGGTCTGTCCTGAAGAGGCTGTAACTAAGTTGCTCTCTGCAGGCAATGGTTTTGAAGCTCCATCTCTCATACTTTGGGCATGTTGCCAGGAGAGACTTGCCCTTGTAGAAGGGCACCATGCTTGGAAGGATAGAGGGACAACACAGGAGAGGAAGATCCTGGATGAGATGGATTGGCATATGACTGGGGTTATAGGGGCAGGTGTGTCGGAGACAGTGAGATTGCCTCAGGATAGGACAGAACTTAGAGCTATTGTACACAGGGTAGGTATGACTTACAGGCCACACCTAATAACAACAGCAGTGGTAAAAACGTGTGCTGCAATCCTGAAAGTACATGGTTTGAATCCACCAGCTACTCCACAGGAGGAGGATGGATAATCTTCTCCCATGTGATTAAGTGTCTCTGAAAACCTGTCAGAGGATCAGCTATGGATTGCTTCTGACTTGACAGCATAGAACAATGACAACAACAGCATAATGAGTTTAGTCTAAATAACGTTACATTTTCCTCAAAGATGTGATGAGAAAATATAACAAGACGTTACGACAATGCTACTACAGTTTAAACCCAGGAGCTGCTCTACAAGAAAAGGATGGACAATCACTTCCTCTGTGATTAACTGCCTCTGAAAACCTGAAGACAGGTCAGCTATGCGTCAGTTCTGACTCGATGGTACTCAACAACAACAACAATTCACATATATCATAATAGTAATATTCCATATACACTCTAAAGAACAGTTGTAACTTGAACCTGTGATCAGAAAGATATTCTATATTAATAATTGTTTAATCAGAACATGTAATTTTTTGCTTAATGATTATTTCATCCTTTAAATTTTGTCACCAGGAAAACTAATTAATGTACTATTATACTTACTGTATTTCGGGGAGATTGCTGTTTAGATATACAATTATATTCCACTCACCAAATTGCTTTTGTTGATTTTGTTTTGCATTTGTGTTGGTAAATGTAGAGAAAGGACAGGAAGAGAAGCTTGAAGTCTACAAGCATTTGAATAGGGAGATTTATGACTCTCAAAAAATCTTCACATTTTCAAATTTCATAAAGATGCTTAATTCACACTCTATACTTGGATGATTCTACCTTCTGATAATGGACAATGGTAGTGTTTCTGTGTACTGTCAAATCAGAACCACCCCCTAGCTGTCCCTCCATTGGGTTTTCAGATGTAGTAAATCACACAGGAAGAGATTTTCCATTATTCCTGTGGAATAGCTGGTGGAATTAAACCATGTTCTTTGCATTGGCAGCACACTTATCATCCGGCTTCCAAGCTTGTTTTATTCGGGAAACTCCACCAAACACTGTCCGCCATGGGTAACCATTATCGCATTTGACACATCAGTGTCACAGTGTTCAGCATCACAGCAACCACGAGTAATCTACTATAGAAGGAAGAAATGTTTGCAGAAATCTTCTGTAGTTCTCACTGAAGTCCAAAGACTCCTAAGGAAACATTAAAGGGGGGGGGGTGGAGACAAAGATATGTGGGTGTGGACTTGATATTAATCTTTTGTGCATTATTTGAGGATCTTTAGTGACACAATAGGCTAGGAATTGAGTTGCTTAACCAAAAGGTCATGGTTTGGAACCATAAATTACTCGGAAGGTAAAGATAAGGCTGTTTGTGTCTTTAAAGATTTACAATGAACAGGGAAGTTTTATCCTGTCTTATAGGGTTATGACAAGTTAGAATCAACTACGTGGGTTGTATACTACATACTTTGGATCTCTTATAAATTAAGAGTTCTATTCAGGTAATATTTTTATACTCCTTATTATTGAATCCATTCAGACTCTTCATCATGTTCTGAGGCTGTACATATTTATGGAAAGAGACTGCTCATCTTTCTCCTTCAGAGATATTGGTAGCATCAGACCAGAGATACACAGCCTTCTAGTTAGTAGTGCAACACACTATGAACTATACCATCAGAGTTCCTTAGATAATTCTTACTTGATCAGTTTGTGTCTGATCTTTAACAGGAATTTTCATTAAGAGCTCTGTTCTTTATTATAGATTTAAAACTAAATTTGAGACGTGAGAAAATGGACCTACAGAATGACTCCTTGGTGACAGATTTTGTGTTGCGTGGACTCTGCACTTCACGACATCTCCAGTACTTTTTCTTTGTATTTTTTTCCATGCTCTATGTGGCGATTGTGCTCGGCAATCTTCTCATTGTGGTTACTGTCATTTCTAACTCTCACTTACACTCTTCTCCTATGTACTTCTTGTTGGGGAACCTGTCTTTTCTGGACATGTGGCTGGCCTCATTTGCCACCCCCAAGATGATCAAGGATTTTCTCAGCGATAAAAAACTCATTTCCTTTGGAGGATGCATGGCTCAGATTTTCTTCTTGCACTTTATTGGTGGTGCTGAGATGGTGTTGTTAGTTTCCATGGCTTATGACAGGTACGTAGCCATATGTAAACCTTTACATTACATGACCATGATGAGCCGAAGGACTTGCATTGGGCTGGTGTTGGTTTCATGGACCATTGGATTTGTGCACTCCATCAGTCAAATAGCTTTCACTGTGAATTTACCTTACTGTGGCCCCAATGAAGTAGACAGCTTTTTCTGTGACCTCCCACTGGTGATCAAGCTTGCTTGCATGGACACGTATGTCTTGGGCATACTAATGATCTCAGATAGCGGGTTGCTTTCCATCAGCTGTTTTGTGCTCCTTATGATTTCTTACACTGTTATCCTTGTCACTGTTCGAAGACGTGCAACTGGAGGGGTATCCAAAGCACTCTCTACTTGCTCTGCACACATCATGGTGGTCACACTCTTTTTTGGGCCCTGCATCTTCATTTATCTCTGGCCTTTTAGTCGGTTCTCTGTGGATAAGCTCCTGTCTGTGTTTTATACAATTTTTACTCCACTCTTGAACCCACTTATCTACACATTAAGAAACGAAGAGATGAAAGTAGCTATGAAGAAACTGAGAAACCAGTATGTGACTTTTCATTAAATTCCATTTTTCCCTAAGAGTTACATGTCCTTACCCATTAAGATGAATAACATTTCTATTATTATTTTATTCAGTGATTTAATTTTGTCATTGTATTAATGTAATTTGTGACGTACTTTGTTAGAGAAATAATTGTTGGTTTCAATAAAAATATGTATGTACATATATGTGTGTGTTTAGATACACGTGTGTGGTGTTTGAATGGATAAATATGTGTGGTGTTAAAGGTTTATTGCTCAAAATGGCTTTCTAGCCATTGATTTTTTACTTTGCCATGTGGTTGGGAGGGAATATGCAAATAGCTAATCCACGAGAGAATTGGCAAGCCTTGCCACTACATTGATCAGATTCAACAGCGTATTTTGGGAATCTCACAACAGCAAAGAGGAAGCAAAGCATGCAGAGTACACGTCTTTTGGTGCCAAAGATTCTTGTGCAACTCAGACAGAGACCTACAGGAGAGCAGCAGCAGAACCAGAGATCTGACAAACACAGGATGATGTTGACCTGGGGCTGCTGCTATTCTGTGGAGCCTTTGCTCAAGTTTGTTGGATGACTGGAAGTGGAAGGGACAGTCATAATTGGCAGGTCTAGAGCTTTGTGACACTGGCCAAAAGCTATGACTTAATTAAGGCTGAGTGCCAGTGAATACATTTCAGAAGCTGTCCTAAGTGAGTGAGTTTATCTGACTGTCAATGTGAATTATAGATTTTTACTTCCTTAATATGTTTCTATGTGCTCTGCAAGTTATTTCAATGGATTTTGGACATAGTATATGAGCAATATTGGTATTGGATTAAGTAAAAAAGATGTACAGGACATGTCTGACTGCATAGGAATTGGTTTTGTGTTATGAATGTTGTTGACCACGTCAGTTCTCTTTTGTGGACTTTTTAGAGGTAAGATATGGTTGTTCCCAAAGGGACCATGTTTCTTTTTAATGTGCATACACAAATACATCTATATTTTAAAAATATTTAGGTGCTGTTTGACTCATCAAATCGTCATGTATGGAAGAATAGGGATGAGTGCCACAGAACTTGTAATGGCTAATTTTTTAAAACAGTCAAGACTTTCTTTCAAGATGCCTCTAGGTGGATCTGAAGACTTTATGATGAGAAGCAAAGATCATTAAGCCATTTATACAACTCAGAGATATATTTGTCTAATATTTTCATAACTCTATCTATCATCTATCTATCTATGCATATATAAGATGAGTAAATATATATAAATAAAATTGTGTGTGTATAAAAGATATATCTAGATATATCTATATATATCTTTACACAGAGAGATAAATTTGATGCCACAGTGGTTGATGGCTCAGTGGTTGAGTATACAGTTCAAATTCACTACCTCCTTCATAAAAGACCTTGCAATCTGCTCTGGTAAAGATTGGTGTTGTTGCTGTGTACCATCAAATTGGAACCAACCCATAGCTGATCCTCCAGTAAATCGCACAGAAGCTCATAACCATCTTTCTCCTGTGGAGCAACTGGAGGATTCAAGCTGTGTAATTTTATGTTGATGTGCAATTCCTCAACACTAAGCAGCTAAGCTGTAACTGCAGAAACACTATGGGATAGTTCTTTACTGTCGTACGTATAAGGTTACTATGAGTTGGAATCCATGGCATGACATAACAATGACAACATACACAATTATAGTACTTACTCCACACATACAATTGAAATATACTTTGTGATTTTTTTTCTTTTTAAATTATATTTATCTTAATAGTTAATATTTTTTACTTACATAAAAATGAATTTTCATTTCTTATTAAGAATTCCATCACTAAGGTAGAAAAACATCAATACATGAAACATTTTGCACAGGGAAGCCAATCTGGGATTAAGTAAGTGAAATCATTGTGATTTGGGGGATTTGAGAGGAGAAACAATAACACTATGCCAATTTTTTATTGATCTATAATAAATCTATTTAGAATAAAATATTGATTATGTCTGTTTTTCCACTGAGATACATGTATACATACACACACACGTATGGAGCTTTGGCGGCTTAGTGGTAAAGAATTGTGCTGCTAAACCAAAAGCACATATGGTTCAAATCCACCAGCTGCTCTACAGGAGAAAGATGATGGGTCAGCTACAGCTTGGTTCTGACTTGACAGAGCTCAACAGCAAAGATATACTACATAAATAATTCATAGGGTTTTCTATTTTAAAAATTAATTCCAGTAATTTTTTTATTACAGAGATTCTATTACATGTGAGAAAAATTCATATTTTAAGGTTAAAATTTTATCATTGCAAGATGAAAACACAAATTTAATTTGTCAACTAATGTGCATTGTTTGTTGTTCTGTGCCATCGAGTCACCTGTGACTCATAGCAACCCTATGCACAACAGCTTTGAAGTCCACCTTGTCCTGAGCCAGTCTCACTGACTCTGACACACCTACTCTCATTGCCCCAGTTGCTGTATCAAGCCATCTCATCTGAGGTCTTCCTCTACGGCACTGTCCCTCCACTGTTCTGAGCATGATGTGCTTCTTTAAGGATTGTCTTTCCTGGCCATATGCCCAAAGTTTGTGAGACAGAGCTTCAAAATCCTAGCCTCCAAGGAGAGACTTGGTTTCACCTTTTCCAACACAGACCTATTTGTTTTCTTGTCAGTCATTGTATGTTCAAAATTCTTCTCCAGCACTATTCAAAAGCATTGATGATTCTTCTGTCATCCTTAGTCATTGTCCAGCTCTCTGAAGCATAGAAATTAATTGAAAAAACATGGCCTGGATCAGGCACACCTTAGTCTCTAGACTGACTTTATTGCTTCTCAATACTCTGAAGAGGTCCCTGGCAGCAAATTTTCCCCAGTGCTGTTCATCTTTTGATTTCCTGACTGCTATTGCCAAGAGTTTTGATTGTGAATGTGAGCAAGATATAATTGTTAACAACCTCAATAGAACCAGTGGTGAGAATCTTTGATTTCCTGATGTTGAACTTCAAACTATATTGAAGGTTTCAAGTCCTAGACCTTCTACAGCAAATGTTTCAGGTCCTCCTCAGTTTTATCAATCAAGTTTGTGTCATCTACATAGCACAGCTTGTTGATGATTTTTCCTCCAATCCTGATACCACATTCCTCCTCATAAAATTTAGTCCCTTCAATGACCTGTTCTGCATATAGATTGAAGCTGTATGGAAACAAGGTGCATATCTGACACACTCTTTTCCTGATTTTGAACCATGTGGTATTTTCTTGCTCTGTTCTGAAGACTGCTTCTTGGTCCAAATATAAATTTCACAAGAGCAATCAGGTATTCTGTGATTCCCATTCTTCTCAATGTTAGCTACAATTTGTTTTGATACACACAGCCAAATGCCTTTGCATAGTCAGTTCCTAAGACAAAAGCTTAGAGTCTTGTTTGTTTGTTTATTTTCAGTTTGCCAATAGCCTTATATTTTACTTTTTTAAATTGACATTTTCTTTGGGGAAAATAAAATTATTTCTTTGTTATACAATCCACCCCTCCAAGTCCACTTTACTATGCAGCCCTTATTCTGGACTCTTGTTACGCCCATAATACCTAATCATATATTCCTTTTATACAGTTCTCTCCTTTGTCTGTTTCAATTTGTTGTTAGTTATTTTAAACTTTACTAATATATTAAATTTTTATCACACACTAATATCACACGGGAGTAGAGAGGGAATGGGCAGACAGAGGTGGCCTGAGGCCTGAGCCATTTGCCAGGGTTGACTGGAGGAGAATGGAGGGTGGTGTTGGAAGAACAAGAAAAGGAACTACATAGGATGTTAAGGGGGCAGGAAGGAGAGCAGACACATGTGCTGAAGTGGAGCATGGGGGTGGGATAGTGTAAAGGAAAGATAACATCAAATCTGTTATCTGTAGTGTGATGGGACAGGGTCTTTCATTTGCTCTTGTTATGGTGTTCTTTAAGAGGCAAGAATGGTGAAGTTTTGTCTCACATACTTTGGGCTTTTGTTAGGAGGGGCTGTTCCTCTGAAAAAGACAGCATGCTTGGAAAGATGGAGAGTCAGGGAAGGAAAGGAAGACCCTCAACCAGATAGATTGACACACTGACTGTAGCAATGCGCTAATGTATATCGGAGTTGGTGAGGACAGTACAAGATAGAACAGGGATCAGTTCTATCATTCATAGCATTGCTACAAATTGTGTGTGACATAACGACAACCTTGTATAGTACAAGTTGGTCAAGTTGTACTGCAATTTTATTCTGTCGATATGTGAGATTTTTAATGTTTTGCTAAGAACAATAAAATTAATCTTCATAAGAATGTCCATAGGTTTATATATTCATGTTCATTTTTGTGTGATTTTTGGAATTCTCTTTTATTATAATGACTTTAAACTGACTGTAGACTTAAAGACATACTGGTGACATATAAGAACTAGTAATATTCCCTTTTATTTTAATTCACATAAGCAGTTTGTGTAAAAGTGGCATTATTTCTTCCTTTATTGATTATTTTTTATTCTATCCTGTTTTAAAAGGGTAGTTATTTAATTCTTGTCATTGGTAAATTTTGACAGCAATAGATGTTGTTGTTATGTGCCACTGAGTTGGAACCAACTCATAACTGACCCGCCAGTGGATTATCAGAGGCTATAAATCACATGGGAGAAAAATGATCATCTTTATCCCTTGGAACACTTGGTGGATTCTAATCATTTGCCTTTGGATTTGCAACAGAATTCTTTACCGATACACCATCTCTAAATTTATCTTTGCAATATCTACTACATTATATTTATATAATTAATTGTCATGATTCTGTTGATGTTTAAACTTTAATTACCTCCCAATGTAGGGGTAATGTTGTTGTTGTTATGTGCCATCGAGTCGCTTGCAACTCATAGCGACCCTATGTGCAACAGCTCTAAACTCTGCTCTGTCCTGTGCCAATCTCATTGTCTCTAGCACACTCATCCTGATTGCCCCAGTCACCGAATCAATCCACCTCATAGAGGGCCTTCCCCTCC